TGGGTGAGGGAGCGGATGAGGGAAGAGGGGGGTGACCGGAGGAGTTGAGAGGGGATAGGGTCCTGGGGGCAGGTAGTGAGGTGGGCTTCTGAGAGGACCTTGACGACTTCCTCAGTAGTGACAGGGCTGAGGGAGTGCAGTTCAAGTAATAATCAAGTATCCACAATGATTCACTGTAGAAATACGAATTCCCACGGCCTCCACTCTGTCAAATAACAGAAATGCGCACTCACCGGAAACGCATGGGTTATGCGCATGTGTGATCATGCATCACAGGCAATGGATACATCAGAGGTTAGGCAGCCAGGCATCTCCCTCATGGTGGGTCATCACAGACTCTTTAGTCAGGTCCAGGGGTCCCCTTAAGGTCAGCCAGGTGCTCCAGAAAAAACCTCCTCTCAAAGTGCTTTCTCTGTGGGAATGATAGCTCCAAGCAGGAGCCCCAGAAAACAGATGCCAGAGATAGTGTAGTATGTCCAAAAGGTAAATATTTATTTATAAAAGCAGCAGGGCAGTATGCATATTATACATCATGTAAAAACATAAATATGCAGCAGTACTGACCCCAGTAATGATGGCCGTACAGTCTCCCCTCTGATGATGTGCCTGTAGCACGAAAGGCCTAAGGAGGAGCTGTGCAGAGCGTGACGTCATTCCACTGCCGGAGCCACGAGGAGGCCTGGTACGATGAAGACCTAGGAGATCCGGATGCAGGCCAGGTACGGATGCAGGAGCGTAGGTGCAGCAGCAGGCAGATATGGCAGCAATCAGGATGCAGACTGGGACTGGACACAGGAGCGTGGATGCGGCAGCAGGTCGGTATGGCAGTGACCAGGATGCAGGCCAGGTGCAGGACCGTGGGTGTAGCAGCAGGTAAGTATGGCAGCCGTCAGGATGCAAGCCAAGTGCAGGTACAAGTAAGTAGATGCAGCAGAGTCAGACAAGCCGAGTCAGTATCAAACGAGCAGATCAAGTACAAGGGAGCAGGAATGCGGATAGTCAGGAATAGCCAGGTGCAGGCGGAGTTCTTTCTTAGTCAGGTCAGATCAGGATACAGGCAACAGAATCAGGTAATGGAGTGCAGGGACGTTATGGAGCAATAGGCATTGATTTCACTGTATTGCAGGTTTAAATAGCCTGCCTTGCGTTGAAGTGTACACTACTGAGCATGTGTGCACTTCCGCGCATGTGATAGAGAGAAAACAGGTGGCGCACACACCTAGTGCATTATCCAAGGTTTATTGTAGGAATTAAATCATAAAAACATACTCACAGACGAAGCATGTATCTAAAAAGCATAGAAAAATGACAATGGCCACAACGGCGGGCAAGGTGTTCTCACTGTCAGTACGGTCAAAACTGATGTGTTTCGGGGACGAATCGCTTTCCTCAGAGCTGATGACCAACCTCTGATGCTGATGTATGATGAATGGAAAGTAAAGTAAGAGCCTCGCTGTTGATGCCAGGCATTCATCAGAGGTTGGTCATCAGCTCTGAGGAAAGGGATTCGTCCCCGAAACGCGTCAGAAATTTGACCGCACTGACAGTGAGAACACCTGGCCATTGTAATTTTTCTATGCTTTTTAGATACATGCTTCGTCTGCGAGTATGTTTTTATGATTTAATTCCCACAATAAACCTTGGATAATGCACTAGGTGTGTGCGCCACCTGTTTTCTCTCTATCCAGTGGCTGATTTCCCCGTCTGAGGAGGGCTGCACCCCTGGAACATTTCCTTTTGGTTGTCGCTGTCCTGGTACCCTTGGTTTCCCTTTTGGCTGTGCATATCCTGAGGCGCTGGAGAGTATATACGCTTTCCGCGCATGTGAGTCCGTATGCTCCCGCGCATGCGCACTCGCACCGCCACGGCCTGAGGAGATCCGTCGCACGGTTGCACGGTGACAGGATCCCTGACAGTTGCATCTCTCTACACTGGGTACATCAATAAAAACACAGCCCTGTAGCCTAAGATTTCAAGGCACTTCCCTGCTCCCCCCATTTCATACTAACAGACTGGCTCCAGACGGCACCATCCACTGTTAGCTCTATCCTGTGAAGACCAGAAGTTCTGGGAATTAGCACTAAAAACAGAAGCCAGCAGCGCTAAGTTGAAAACTGCAAGTGTTAGGCTTAGAATTTTGACAAATAGTTTACTACGGAACTCTCATTTTGTGTTCAATGCGTTAAACTAAAAACGCTGAAGGTTTAATACTACTTTTGGCCTCACTCTGTATATGGTGACTAAAACCATTACAGTGTAAATATTTTCCAGCACACCATGAATCCACAGATAAAATCTGATATTTTTTTTTTTATTGAAGAAAGAGCACATCACAATAGAAGAGTGCAACGTTTCAAAGCCATGCAGGACCCCTTCATCAGGCATGTTACATGTGTCAGCGTGGCTCTGAAACTTTGTACTATTCTATTTTGATTAAACTTTCTTCTATAAAAATCTATCGGACTTTGTCTGTAGATCCATGGTGTGCTGGCAAATATTTACACTGAATAGCTGCAGCACATTCAAGGCCTATTCCAGGGATGTGCATGATGGGAATATTGATGATTACTTGAAACCCTGCAGTCCCCACTCTATTTTCATCTCTCTCACAACTGAAACATTATCTTGTCATCATGGTTCATTATCTTCTTTTTGGCAGCGGTGCCATTGTTTCATGACATTACTTTGGATGCATTGCCTAAGTTCAGACCTTGAGTAAAGTGGAAAAATAGTGATGGACCTATAAGGCCATTTTATTGGTGTTGCTAAAGTATTGATGCTGATGGAAATAATCTGGTTCCTGGGCAGATGGCTTCAAACACCCAAGAGGATCTCAATGATCTCCTAGGCTTGTAGTGTAATTTAACAAAAATGTGAATTGAAGCACCACACCACTGCTAAGAGGTCCACATGTGACTTTATTCTAATAAAAGTCAGGGGAACAATCCAAAGAGTAGCCAATGGTACCTTAAATGGAATTTCTCCAAGCACAGACCTTGTCAGCAGCTGTGGGCAGCCAAGAAGATGAAGGGGACATTTTTGAACCCCTGGAAATATGTTGGATAATCTTTGGATTGCCCCCCTGACTTTTTTTTGGAAAAAACATTGTACCTGGAACTGTTAAGCTGACCATAGATGGTTCAAATCTCAGTCAGTTTGACAGGAACTGGCCAAGATTCGAAACATGTATGGGCAGACTGAATGTACCCAAGTTGATTGATGGATCGACTTGGGTACAACCAGCCTGCTGGATTTTACATGCAACTTTTGCAAGTGGCTATTATAGCCTCTAGCAATAATCACTGTCTTCTCCTGGCAGGGATGTCTCCCCTTCACCCTCCCACCAGGAGAACACAATGGCTTGGTGGGAGGGATTCCCCCATCAACACTGACTGTGTTGATGGGGGAATTTAGCGACCCGTGTTTGCAGGAAAGAAATTTGCTCCATCTATGGCCTGCCTTAACAGTGGTATGGTGCTTAAATTTTCTTTGAAATTAAGCTCTTTTCCATGAAGGTCTTGTCCAAGTAAGATAAAGAACTGATACCTACTGCCCCATCACTCATGTGATCCTAACAAGCCCTGGTAAGGTGATGTGCCTCAACCGCCAAGTCTCATGACAGTGACAGTGTGAATCTCAGCAACTCTCACATCATTAACAGTTAAAGTTGGATAGGTGTATATGGAATTGTGAATTGTTCACTGTTATTATGTGCATCTGATGCACTGTGAAGTTATTTGTGAATGAAAACTAATCAATAATAATAATAATAGGTCCACTTAAAGAAAGTCCATATATACAGAAAGCTGTAATCACAATAATAACATAATTTCTTGAACTGAAACATATTGCAGAAAATGTAAAGTTTATTGTTTTACTTCTTTCTTTTCTTTTCTGTTTTGCTGCTGTATTTTGCTGGCACCGCTCACTGGTTTAATTGTGCTTAGAATAGACAATTTTGTGATTGTGTTTTAGCTGTACTTACAATAGACAATAGATCATTCTATTCCATTTCTGAGAACTGAAAATGTAGCTGCTGCTCATTTTACGTATATCTTCTAGAGGACTCGGTAAAGTAAATGCAATCGCAAAATCTTTGAAGTGGCTAAAATAATTAACTTCTTCAGTCAGAAGTAGTATTTAAATAAGTAATTAGCTAAAAAAATATTTCAGTATGTGCAAACACTTCTATAATTATAATAAACATTTAAGATTGTAAGCTCTAACGAGCCGGGCCCTCTGTTTCCTCTTGTACCAAATTGTATTGTAGCTGTAATGTCTACCTTCATTTTGTAAAGCGCTGCAAACTGTTGGCGCTATATAAATCCTGTACAATAATAATAATAATAACACAGGAACAAAACATCTTAAAGTGACATCCAGTGGTTTGATGACATATTGTGAGTTCAAGGAATAATAAAGCAAACCAGGAACCTGTCTTACCTTTTTGGTGAGTAGTAGGGATGAGCCAAACTGTTTGGTTCAAACAGGGTTTAGCGACTTTCAAACAAGTTCAGATGCCAAGCCCGAACTTCACTGAAAGCTAAATCTGTTAAATTAAAAATGCTCATTTTCTGGCTAATATGCAAGGGAGTGTCAAAATAGCATAGGGTTGGGTAGTGCCCTGGGTAATTTGCACCATCATTGCAAAAATAAATAAATAAACAAATAAATGAAAAAAATTCATGCCAGGAGCAGTGATTTTTTTTTTTTAAATGTCCAGTTCATTTTAACTACTTGCCAACCGCAGATAGCCGAATGACGGCTATACTGCGGCTGGCCAGTTCTGGGAGGGCGTCATATGCCGTCCTCCCAGAACGCCTCTCCTCTCCGCACGCACCTGGTGATCTCCGTGATTGCTGTGTTCTGCGGACACAGCTGGTTACGTGATGTGGTAAAAGGCCAATCACAGCAGCCTTTTACCATGTGATCTGCTGTGTCTAATGACACGCTGATCACCGGGAAATGCAATTGCCAGTTCTCGGCTGCAGTTTCCTCACGCTGTCAGAGCGCGAGGAAAGTACTGCTGAGAACCAGCAGTTGTCAGAGCAGGGATCGGCACCGATCATCAGGGCACTGATGATCAGTGCCCTGATGATTGGTGCCCAGCAGTGCCACCCACCAGTTCCGCCCACCTGTGCCCATCAGTGCTGCCCAGCAGTGCACCCACCTGTGCCCAGCAGTGCACCCACCAGTGCCCAGCAGTGCCACCTACCTGTGCCCAGAAGTGCCACCCACCTGTGCCCACCAGTGCTGCCCACCAGTGCCACCCACCTGTGCACATCAATGCAGTGCTGCCAGTCAGTGCCACCAGTCAGTGCCCAGCGGCGGTTGTGCCAGCCAGTGCCCAGCAGTTGCGCCAGTCAATGCCTAGCAGTGCCACCAGTCAATGCGCAGCAGTGATGTCAGTCAGTGCCACCTATCAGTGCTGTCTATCAGTACCCATCATCAGTGCCACCTATCAGTGCCACCTATCAGTGCCGCCTATCCGTGACACCTCATTAGTGCTGCCTATCAGTGCAGCCTATCCGTGACACCTCATTAGTGCTGCCTATCAGGGCCGCCTATCCGTGCCACCTCATTAGTGTTGCCTATCAGTGCTGCCTCAAAAAGTAAAGTGCCCAGCAGCGATTAAATACCACCAAAAGAAAGCTCTATTTGTGAGAAAAAAATCATAAAAATGTCATATGGGTACAGTGTTGCATGACCGCGCAATTGTTAAAGTGCGACAGCGCTGAAAGTTGAAAATTGGCCTGGTAATGAAGGGGGTATAAGTGCCCGGTAGGCAAGTGGTTAATAATATTCCTGGGGGTGTCCTAATCCTGCCTGTGTAGGAGTGCATCTCTGTGATGTACCTTAAGTCCTGCAGCAGCATTGACATTCACAAATGAAAAAAATGCCAGCATTCCAGGTTTCTTTTTACATTTTTTTTCAAATGTATTTTGGTGGACCTTTGGAGGGGTCTCTGCCTGCTGTTTTTTTCTCTGTAAATGTCCCCTTTGCTGTAGCACATCCCACAGCAAGGACGAAAAAATATTGCGTAGCCTTTCCCCAAAAAATACATACTAGATCCTATCTGGTATGAATTTTAAGGGGTATCTCACAAACAAATTGCATGAAGTCCCCCAGGAAATTCATACCAGACTATATGGGTCTAGTAGGGATTTTAAGGGGGATCTCCATACAAACAATCCATACCATACCCTTTATACAAGCATGCAGTCTGCCTGGTTATGAAAGAGACTGGGGGGGCAAGTGTGCACTCCATGAACCATGCCAGGCCACATGTCCTCAACATGGGGGGGGGTGCCTAGTCAGGCCAACTCCCTCTGGCAAAGCACCTTATCCTTATGTTGATGAGAACAAAGGCCTCTTCCCTAGAACCTTGGCTATTGGTTGCAGGGATCTGTAGCTTATTTTATTTTGGAATTTAATAATAAGGGGTCCCCTCTAGATACCATACCTATATTCCTTCAATACCTCTATTCATTCACAGAGCAAAAAATGTCACCTAGAAATAGACATACAAACATTTGACAAGTTCTTTATTTAAAAAAAAACTCACAAAAAAGCCCTTCATTGTAAATCCATCACTAATTACAATTCCCACCATCCACCAACTCAGAAAAATTCTGGTGCACACAACCGCTACCCCTAGCCCAGGGGTGGGCAAACTGCGGCTCTCCAGCTGTTGTGGAACTACATTTCCCATGAGGCATTGCAACATTACAAAACTGGCAGTTACAGCTATGGCTTGCAGAGGTATGATGGAACTTGTAGTCCTGCAACAGCTGGAGAGTCGCAGTTTGCCCACCCCTGCCCAAGCCGAATGACAGCTGTCATCAGCAATATAAGGGAAGTGGTGACAGGTGGTGGCGGAAATAGTGGTGACAATTCCCTAAATAAGGCCATGTGGTTGTATAGGCAATGATGCAACCTGCTCTGATTCCCAATCAACTGCTTATGTGGCAGAGGATTCCTGATCATGTGAGTGAATGGGCCAGTGACGCCAGTGGTTAGTAAGGATGTGGTGGGTGCAAGCACCCACTGCTTCCTTAGCAAGCATTAACAGCCGGAAACTGTCATATTTGTCCATGCTGAGCATCCTAAATGTAGTAAGCTAAAGTATATCTAGAGGCAGACTTTCTTTTTTAATTTTTGGAGAAAGTCCAAAAAGTCCAGTTTTTGTCTTTGTGTCTGATTTTGGGAGCTCTTCATTCACTTCTTGTCCTGTAAACATTTTTTTAGATAGTTGCCACTGGGACAGGTGTACTCATTTGCAGACACCCCCCACCCATTCTTGGTCCAATGACAACTCAAAATTTTATATATTTTTCTCACTTTCAGTCCTGATGACAATGGACAGCACTAAAAAAAGCAGGTGGACTGCCCGAGTGGGTGCATAAACAACAATACAAAACCTGACAGAAGTTCTAACCCGTGTCTGAATCTAAAACTGAAACTAGACACAGGTTTATCTAATGCAGACCTCTTACTTTTGGCCAATTGTAAAGTGCTTTAGAAACTGGTACATGTAATGTGGCCGTGGCAAAATGCATCAAGGCAAAGCATGGTGACGTTATTACGTCTGTCTGGAGCCTGGCTGCTCAGCTGGTGTATGGAGGTGGGAGTCTGAGGCTTTTAATGTGACCCATGATTGGTTTTCATTTAGCATTTGAAGGTGTGCACTGTTTCCTTGGTGCACTTTACTTGTGAGTGGATTTATCTTGTGATTTTAATAAAGTGTTAGCTTTTTGTGACTATATTACACTATGTGGAGCTTTTTCTTTGCCTTGAATGAATTAGCCTGGTTGTGCCCTTTACCACATGGGGGAGAAGCTGGGGATTCATCCTGAGGCATTTGCTCAAGTGACTGGTGTGAACTGCTGTTTCTTACCTTTTGATGAAAGGGTAAAGTGTTGATTGACCTATTATATACCAAATAGGTCCACAGATCCAGGAGAGAGAGGAAAGTGAATGGTGGTGGGACCTTCTCCTATGATAACACTTTGATGGATCACTGAATGCAGTACAATATTTCAGAATTTCTCCTAGTTCATTTTCTCTGGGCGTTTATATACAGTATTGAATAATATATATAAACAGTGCAGCGCTAAAAATAATATAAATGCATAAACATTCCCTGAGGAAGTCACGTGTCCAGCGTGACGCAACGCGTCGGTACGCGAGGAGGATTTCGGTGACGTCACTTCCGGCGTGGGGGCCATATTTGAAATTCCTGTATTAATACCCATACAATTCATTTATATCATGAGGTATAAAGCCATGTGAAAGGAGAATATACATGTGAGTGGGCACATTTTATATTGGTTTATTCACATAAATTGCGGTTTTACACTATGGAGGCTCTTTATTTATATATGATCCGGAGAGGAGGTTGCTGACAGAGTGGTACAAGCAAGGATTGGAGGACTCTGGAGAGCATCCTGTTACCTATCACAGGGGTTTACATCCTAAGCGAGCTGACCCTGAAGGGTCGATTTAAGGAGGTGAGGGGCCACTTTAGCCACCTAAGGATTTGCACAGTGTGAACACTTAGCATCACCTGCATGAATATTGTGTTTGGATCACCGTATATAGACTTTTTTTATTGTGCGTTTGCATATATCACATTTGAGTGACTTTAGATTTATTGAGTTTTGGCATACCACTTTGGCACTTTCATTATTCCCGCAGGGAATACACGTGTTGCACTTTATAGGAGTTTTACCCCTTTGCACATTGGGGGGTTGTTTGCACTAATTTATATTATTTATTTATTTATTTATTTAACCTCCCTAGCGGTATTCCCGAGTGTAGCTCGGGGTAAAGTTTCAGTACCAAAAGCGGTAACCCCGAGCTACACTCGGACTTACCATGCGGAGTTGCACAGGGATTCCCTGCAGCGCTTACCTTGTCCTTCGCTCCCGCGATGCGTCCCCTGCAGCATCCCCGGCCATCTCCTCCGGCCGATGCCGGCATCCGGCTTCGTTTTCCGGTCCCTGTGACGTCGGAACGTATGGGCGGCGGAACCGGCAGCAAATTTGAAAATTTAAAAAAAATTACATTTTTTTTTAAAACGATTATTACATAGTAAAACATTACTGTTGCAAAACATTTCACATACATTTTGTCCCATTTTGTCCTGCGCCCTGCCTGCATTTTGACTGTTCTTTCTGCCTGGAAACTTAGAAAAGTCCATGGCGTCCAAAAAGCATCCCTTTAGGTCAAAATCGGTTTTAGACCAGCTAGAGAACAGCGATAGTAAATCAGAACCACTTGCAGAATTGAGTGATAATGATTCGTGGGGAAATTCATCATCAGATACTGAAAACGATTCTGAGACTTTGCTCAGCGATGTGCGAACTTGGCGCTATATTTCATTTTTCAGTGTTTTTGGTTTGATTATATTATTGAATTAAATTTATTATTATTATATTATTATTTTTTATGAGTATTTATTAAATTATAATTTATGATTTCGTGTTTAAAATTTTATCATATCCGGAATGTTTACTAGACTCTTGTTCGGACAGATTTCAGTGAGTTATTCCTAAATTACAGGCCTACAATAAAAAAACTACATAATTCCATGCAAAAAAATGGTACCGCTTTCAGCACCAAAAATCTGAAATAATCATACCGCCAGGGAGGTTAATGTTTATGCATTTATATTATTTTTAGCGCTGCACTGTTTTATATATATTATTTATTGACTCACATTGGTAAGAGGTTAGTGTCAACAGCTATAGTGATAGGGCCCCATTTTAGCGTAGGAGGTTTTTTTTCTATATACAGTATGGACTTATTTCCATGGACTCACTATATGCATTGATGTACAGTATGCTTTTTTTTTTTTTTAAACACTATTTTTCACTTTGATTATTTATTCAGTATTATTATTATTATTATTATTATTACTATACAGTATTTATAAAGCGCCGATAGTTCGCTCAGCGCTGTACATTACAAAGGGGGACAGAACATGTGACAGAACAATACCAATACAATGCAAAACATGAGGGGATTAAGGGCCCTGCTCTTTCGAGCTTACAATCTAGGAGTAAGGATAACTATTGTTAGATTTACAATGGTTTAAGTACAGTGAGATACAGTGAAGTTTTATAGAGTTTGTTGTCACATTATATACGTTGCAGTATGTCATTTTTTTGTTGGCTTGTGCTACACTTTTTATG